AGGTTAGAAGTCGGGCCGGGCCGGGCCGGGGCTGGCCCTGCAGTGCGTAAACGCCTATAGTTACTTGATTGTGGTTTAGAATTGAATTATGTGCCTGGAAAATACATAATACCCCCTCTTTAATTTATACAACATAATATAGCAAAAACAGGAAAGAAGAATTGGAGTAGACACGTCAAACTGTAAACACAARAAGAAAAAGATGAGGATGAAGAATAAATACAAGACCTGAAATCAAATCCTTTTTTTTTTTTTGGACTGACAATGAAGTGGAACTTTGTTTCACATTAAACGATACTGATTGGGTCAAWACTGATTTACTGATGTCAGTCTAAATATGTGGACGTATTGGACAATTTCAGACCCAGTATTCAGTTGAACTGAAAAAATTATTGATACACAAGTGTTTGTAAAATGTGTAATASATTTACATTATAGTGTTTTTCTGCAACATTTGCTTTAGTATTGATGACCCTTCAATAAAGTGTTAAAACTCTTTTGCTCTGAACTATATAAGGCAATGATATTGTTCATCAGCCTTGAGCAACTTGAACTCTGGGCTCTCCCACTTTCCAACAGGGAATTCCCATGAATCAACATGCATTATGGGAAGTGTAGTTTATGGTCAATGCYGGCTTTAAAGCAGCTTATTTTGAGACATTAATACAGGGCTATTCAACTAAATGTCTCAGGGGGCCACAAGCTGTGTTTCCATTGCAAATGTGCGCAAAACTTTGTTGATTTTCTGTTAATGTTGAAAAACACAGTTTTGCAACTGCAGTGTTTCCATTAAGTAAGAAATGCTATTAAAATCACACGTGAATACGTTTGTTCTCATGATAAGTCATTACAAACATGACGGCAATGGATGTAAACACATAGCATGTTGCTACCGCGACTCTAGCGCTCATCATCAGAGGAGACGTTGGCGTCTTTTATCGAGACTTTCCAGCGACAAGCCCCTACTTGGGAGCGGCTACGTATGCTGTGTTTTTGGGAAATTGTAGTCGGTGAGTTTACAATTTTATTTTACTACTTCTGTGATATTACTACTACTTCTACTTCCTGTTGTCTTCTTCGTCGTTGTCTTTTTCACCAGTAGAAACAGCCGGTTGTTGATCACGTGACTCCCGTGATGCGAAAAAAAAGTTTCCATTGCAGTTTTGTGAAAAACACCAATTTCGATAAGGCCAAAATACCACCTCATCCAAGCGCAAAAACATTTTGTCGAAAAACGTAATTTTTTTTCAAAACTGACGTGTTTCCATTGAGCAAATTTATTTTCGAAATTCTAATTTGCGCATTTTCATGGTCAATGGAAACGCAGCTACAGGTACTCAAAGCCAGCAGCTCAGGGCAGAACGCCTATTACTAACTTTCACCTTTAAAATTTGTTAATTTTGTTGCATTTAATCATAGATTTAAAAAATACCAGAGATATAAATTTTATTTTCATGTTAAATAGAAAAAGGTTTGAAAAAACATTGTCTGGTCTGGTGGGTCTGGATTTGTGTGTGTGTGTGTGTGTGCGGAGGGGACTTTTGGCCAGTCAAACGGAAGTGAACCGCATTTGGCCTGCAGGCCTTGAGTTTGACACAAAAACGCGATGATGGTTTTTAAGCTGCAACCGARTTTTGAAAAGGGGGGCCTCTTAAAATGCTGTTTTCCTGTGGACTCAAGGTTGAATTGTTAAAAAAAAAACATTGTTCCTGTGTGGGCAGAGCCTCCAGCTGGACGTTTCACAGGACAAACATCAGACAGTTACAGCGACAGTAAGGATGGAGGTACAGTAGGAATATGTAACAGCTACAATTATCTTGCCAGTCTGGGTGTAGTGCATCCAGTTCAGAATGACCTCAGGCGCCCGGTACCAACGGGTCACCACGTAGCCCGTCATCTCTGCGTCGGTACTGCGGGCCAGCCCGAAGTCCAGGATCTGCATCAGCACCAAATAACTGTTAGTAGCCTACACCATGAGCACCACCTGCGTTAATTATCAGTTTATATGGATGTAGCATGTTTGTATTGACGAGATATCCGAATGTAAAGACATAGATAAGGTGGTTTTTCAGTCGTGCTGATAAAAATCACACTTGACCTGATTTTGCCTCTAAAGCCGCTCYATTATGTAAGTGCTGAAGTGTTTTTAATGTAATCCTAACAAGCACATACCTTGAGTTCACAGTCTTGATTAACAGCCAAGTTTCCAGGCTTAAGATCCTGAGAAGAAAACGAAGTGAGTGACGTTTACTTAGGGTGCATAATAATTAACATGAAATTACAATGATTAGACCCTTACAAGAGTCCATAAGAGCTTTAGCTTGAGTTGGCTCAGCTGTTTGTCTCGAAGCGTAACCACTACATTTTTTTTTTTTGTTTTTACCAGCATGACTCACTGTAAAACCCTACGCAGCATTTTTAAAGAGTAATACTGATGTGATAAATCTGACACTGAGTGTTGTTAACGCCTCGACTGCTTTAAGATTTAACTGTAACAGCAGAGTAACGCCGCCTTCTACGGTCCAAACACAAACRTTCRCACTAATTTCTCAGTTAATATTTATATGATGCCGATCAATATGCTCTCTTCAAAACCGTGAAAAAGGAGTGAGGAGAGTGAAAAAGCAGAGGATTCATCTGGTTCTGATGATGCACAAGCTGCTCAACATAACAAACGTCTTAGGCTTTTTATATAACATCCAGGTGAAACCAAGTGTTTGCAGTCAAAGGTTTCTTCAGCTCTGATGCATTCATGACAAGAACAGGAGGTCCTTTCTGCCCACTGCAGTAACCTTTTACATTACCTCTGTTCCATTAAGCTCCCGCATGTTTTACACTTGCTTTAGATTATTTATAAATAACTACTTTTTCTAAAGTAAAGCTGCAACGACATACTGGTTTAAAATAATAAATATTCAGTCAAATTCAGTTCATGGCAGGTAGAGGTGAAGGTTTTCCAGTTAACAAGAAAAGGGAAAAATAAATGTTGCCACCTTGAATTCATAAACTATAAATTAGCCATGAACAAAATGTAAACAGTWATAAATGCAGACGTTTCTGAATCCTTGCATTAAAAAAATAAAAAAATAACGTTTGAGTTTCTGGTTGTTTTGATGTTACAGATTTATTCTTCTGGTGACGCTGGTCTGAGCAGCTGTTAGTTTAGTTCACCTTTTTTTTATTCCGTTTATCCAAACTAAGAGTGCACTAATCGCTGTCTAATACAAGTAAGACACTGACTACTTGGAAATCATACTTACACATACAAAAATGAATTTCATCCATACTGAAAGATTACGTATTTTTATATATAGATAATCAGAACACAAATGTGGTAGTTGTGCATTTGATGTAAGTTTGCTGTTATCTTTTTAATTTTACTTTTTTTATTTTGTTTTGTTACATAAAGATTATTATTGATAAATTTATTTGATGGAGAAAAGGAACAGATATAAGATTTTTTTCTTCTTTCTGC